GACTGCCCTTGCAGTAGTAATGTGATATTAGATCTACTGGAGCCACTTGTAGAACCACATGTTCAGTCAAACAGTGACTGGTGGGATGTTTCCAAATTGCTGCCCAGCTCTCTGAGATGGAGTTCCAGGTTTGTTGGCTTTTATGGGGATTGTCTTTTCTGTCATGCAAGCGTTACACATTGCACTTAAATTGAAACAAGGAGGTACTGCAAGAGGAGATAATGAATTAGCAGTCTGGATGTTCATGTTTCTTACCTGTGGCTTCTCAGGAAGGCCTGAATCAGTGATGGATATCGTGTGGTTCTTGGCACCCTTGAGACTCGTAAGAGGTGTGCATATGCCTTGTCAGTGTGTGTTGTCTCTTTCTGCCAGAAGTAGTGGAAGTGAACTATTCCAGCCTCTCTTGCTTGAGATTTTGGTCACGTACACAATGTCTGTTGTCTGGGTAGCCAGAACCCTGCTTCTTCCTCAATGTCTTCCCCATCTCTGTCCTGTTCCTGTGCACCCCAGCTAGTTCTTTTGGTTTATACACTTGATCCAGTCACAAATTGACTGCTAGACCTGGAAGAACCTTAGTAAAACTTGACAGTCAACTATACCTTGTTTCCTTGATGGAGGATGAGAAATCGTTCATTGTAGTTTCAAACTTTGCACGACATGTGAAACATGACTCTGCTCTTCGTAGAATTGAAAATCTGTTTGTAGGTGCTGTGCTTGTAGATGAGCTGCTTGGGGTGAGGGGTTTGGAGAAAAGGGAGAGATGTCGCATACATTTTTTGTTCTGCATGGACAGTTTTACAAAGTCCTAAATTTCTGTGTTTTGTTTTTCACACTGCTGTTTTTCTGCACGCTTCTCTCCGCTCAGTTGAAACGGGAAGTGTTGCTACAGTATCGCCCAGTTCTGAGGGTTTATCACAAGATTTTGCTCTGATGCGCGTTTATCTCCTTGGTGAAGCAGGGGCTCTGATGTTAGCATGATGAGAGATAACTTTCCCTGCTTTCCCCAACTACTTGTCAGTACTTTGTCTGTTTCTTGCAAGTGTAGCTGTCGTTGCTCTGGGAGACTTACAAGCACTTGGGAAAGGATACTGGCCAGTTGCAAGCTTCAGGTGAAAGCAGGAGCTCTCTTTTAGGGTCTTCCCTCTTGCTCTAAGCATAGTGAGGCCTTGTGAGAGCTGATTGTCTCAACTGGTTGATGGACGGCGTGGGAGGTGTTTGCAGATGTCAGCGAGGGGCTGGTCTGCCCACACGGAACTTGAGACAAGCTGTTGCCCAGTTGTGGCATTAGCATTAATATCTAGGTGACTGAGTGCTCTGGACAGACTGCTGACTTCTTCCAAGCATTCACATGTCCTCTGGTGTGAGGGCTGACTTGTGAGAAACCACAGCTGTCAGCTCCATGCCGATAGCCCGCCAGCTTTCGCCAGGAGGAAATGGATGATAGGGAGAGCTGTGTGCTCTACAGCAGCAGGTCAAAATAGCTGGCTGCTTCATGGCAGTTTCTAAAGCTGCTAAATGGCTCTTGAAGCACATGTTCACACGTGTTTCCCCTGGGCTTTTCCCTGGGCTGAGTGTCTGCAGGACAGCTGTGTAGGGGGCCCAGCAGAGCAGGCAAGAAGAACATGAGGCTGCTCTCTGCAGCTCAGCTGCTGATGCATCCTGGAGGGGTGCACCTTCTTCAAGGGGAAATGTGGTTGGGTTTCTTGGACCACATCTCCTCCCCTTGCTGCTATTCTCATAAATGTTTCACAGACCGTCAAGTGAGGCCTGAGGGAGCCTTTGTTTCAAAGGGAGCAGAAAAGGAGAACCTCTTATAACTATGAGTGTTGACCTACAGCACGTGCTCATGGCAAAGCTTAATTCAGGTATTCATTTAACTTTAATAAGTCTGTTGCTCTTCTCAGTGATGGCCTCTCTAGACTGTAATTGCAGTGTTTTAACTGCTGAGTCTGTGTATGCAAATGGGTTGTCATTACTCAAGTATCTTAGTGGGTGGGAAACCTGCTCTAACAATGCTTTAGAGCATGGATATTATCAAGTGTTATGGGATGGTTTCCTCTTCCAGACCTTGCATGTTCATGAGTCAGTCACTAGCACATGACTGGAACTTCAACATGAATCATAGGATCACCTCACTGCTGGTGTGGGAATTTGGTACTTTGCAATTTCAGTATTTTCTGAATGAAAAAACAGATGAATAATTCATACCTGAACTGAATGCCTGTTCCTTCAGCTTTTAATCCAATTACTGATTAACACTGCGTGCTTCTTCCTGTATTACCTAACAGCTCTGTGTTCACATGACCTCCAGGCAGTCAACTCTGTTACAAGAATGCAGAAGTGCAATGCCAGAACTTCTTGAAAGCTCTAGTTATTCTTTATTTGCTAAATGATTTCTAGTATCAAATAACACTGTTAAGGCAGAGAGGCTAGGGGGCTTGTTCCCTCCTTGCCACTCCTCTTATCCTTGCCTGATGTGTATATTGTAGCTGAGATCCATAGCTTTGGTTTGATTTTTCTCTGAAAAATCACGTTGCCCAAGTGAGGTAAAAATTAACACACTAATGATTCTGTGTTGGGTTGGGGATGAAGCCCTGAGGATCAGGATGCTGGCAAGTGTCCATTTGTGCATATGTTGCAGGAACATCAATATCTTACTGTAGAGCAAGAGGGTCTCTCATCTGCTGTGAACTTAGTGAACCCTTTCTGATTTAGTCATATTGGAAGTAACCAACAGAGATTACAGAGACACTAATCGAGTAACAGTTGCCTCTTCTCCCCAGAAGGCATGGCATCTTGCTCTGCATATGCCAAACACCTGAATTGATAGCTATCGTGTCAGGGAAGGATGTGGGACCAGTGCTTTTTCTCCTCTATGCAGCAGGGCAGCCTGGGACTCCCAGGTGGGAGTAGTCCATGTTTCTCTAAGAGAAGGATTCCCAAAATGTATCTGGTTCTTGCAGCTGATGACTTTGAACAGTACAAATTGAAACCCTGAGTTAAGGAATATAATGCCTCAGTTGATTTTCTAATACTTGGTACTGAAATCCCTGAAAGTCTGAAAATTGCAAAGACCACCTTCAGTACAGCCTACAGCCTTCAGCCTTGTGTCAAAGCAGTTGCTTAGCCAAATCTTCAGATTTGGTTCAGCATTAAAATCTGTTTGCTCAATTACATATACTGTTCTAGGTTTGTTTAAGAAATGTTGGTGTTAGTGGTCATGTCTTATTTAAGCTTCAGAGCTGCAAATTTTTGGCTCTCTTCTTTCTACAGCAAACATTAATGCTGCAATCTACTTGTACTCATGTGAGTAGGCTTTTATACCATGTGGAGAGATTCCCATACTTAGTTAAGTGTTTGTGCACCAAAATTTGTGAAAAAAAATTCACCTGAATGGTTTGCTAAAGTTTTGTGGCTTAAAACTTCTCTCCTGAAAGCAAGGAGGTTGATTTCTTATAATTCCTAAAATCCCATTTAAATGAATTGAAAATACCTTTTAAAGAATTGTGTGACAAAGCATTTCTAATATCTTAAGTTCAAGTCTTTGGTGGTAAAAATAATTATGAAGATGTCTACATTAAAGTGTCTGACTGGCTTCTAGCTTCAGTTTGAAACTAGGAGGATCTGAACTCCTAATGGTGGCCCACTCTATAATTATTTTGTCTCTCTTGATTTGTGGAAAATTGATGTGCTTGAAGATTGGAGGATTCTGAGTAAAATTCTTGGCAGCTTCACTGTATGGATGCCATAGGTTTGACAGCCCAGTTCTCACTTATGTCTTTCCCATCAGAATTGAGCATTTTAAATAGAATATTTCTTACTAATATAAGAACAATGACTGTCTAAGTCTGAGATTTTATCTGGTAAATAATTTGTACTACTCTTTACAGATTTGTTTTTTTACTAAGTAGTAAATAACATGTAAATTCCAAAATGTTGTCTTAAGTCCTTGACTGCTTCACAGGCTTACAAAGTTTGGGAAATGCTGACCACAGGGGATGGTTTAAGAAGTCATTATAGTCTTCTGACAAAGTGGAGTCAGTGACTTTTGCCTTGTGTTCTGGGAGATGGGGGGGGATGGTGTGAACCATGTGAATCAAGAAGTGGAAACTGGCTAAAAAAGTGTCCTGTACGAAGCAGCTACGTAATTGTCTTTGGTTTCCTTTCTCTAGCTGAGAAAAGTATTTCCTGACAGGGACAGATAATTTTTTTTCAGCCAGTGGTATCAATTCAGTTTGTTTGCACTTCTATCAATATCCATGCTGGTTTTGGGAAATGAGAGTGAGAACATTGTTTTGTACACACATATTGTCGGCTTACGTGTGTTAATTCTGCTCTTGATTCTGTTTAGGTAAAGTGCTGTTACTTTTCAATGCAAAGGTTTCAATTTCACTCTTGTGTAGATACTGGAGCTTATGGTTCTTGCCCAAGGAACAGAACCCCTTCAGACTACTGCTTCATGTTTTATTTTTGGATGCAATAATCAAAGTTGGGGAGTTGGGGTAAGCAGCACTAAGAAAACTAAAGATGCTACTGAAATGACAAACATGACAAATAAAACATGGTTTTCATGTTTTATTTTAGGAAAGTAAGACTAAAGGCTGCTGCCATTCTTAGAGTATATCAGTGCTGCTTGAGTCAGATGAGTTCAGATGCTGATCATTCTAATATTAGACATTCACATGCTGATTTTCCTGTTTAACATGGGGGACTCTCCAGCTCAGCAGAGTGCCACTGTTTGCTCCGTAAGCGTATTCAGTGCTACTCTACTGATTTCATGTCTTTGGTAATTTCCTCCTCAAATCCTCTTAAGGGGAAAAAAAGAGGAAACTCTCTAGTTTCCCTTTCTTCAACTAGATCCCCTTTTCTGAGCATTACTTTGAGAGGAATAGCAAGTTCCATCCCACCACCTTCACAGCTGTTTTTCAGGATGGATGGGTGTGATAAGCATTTTCAGCAAAGGGGAATGAGGCAACAGGACTCTCTATACTTTATTTTAGACTCAGGCTGTGACTCTGTGACTGATACAGAAACAGAAGACGAGAAGAATCCAGCTGACTCCCACAGACTTGCCATGAGTGAAGAACATGGATCATCCAGGAGCACTGGGGACTGTCCAGTGGTGCAGCCCAGCCGCATACAATGTGGGGTACTGTATGTCCACTCCTTGGGCTGTGTCCTTACTGTGAGCTGCTGCAGCCCACTATGCTGCTTTGTAATGTTCAGCTTTACAGGCCTGCAAATTAGTCCTGAATTCTTCTGTCACCTTCCTGCTCAGCCCCCTGTCCTCCATGTCTCCTGTTTCATGGACTTGGCTGCCTAGGCCCAGAGTAGCTTGGTGACAGTTGGTGCAGAGCTTAGTGCTGTCAGTGCCTAGGCTGTGCTGTCACTTAATGACTGCCCCTTTAACATGGCTGCTTGACTTGGGTGCTGTGAGACAGGTTCACACTCTTCCCTTCCTCTGCTCTGCTGGCAAGTGGAGTAAGATGACTGTAATGAACAGATTAGCTCCACAGTCAGTATCCAGTCTAATATGACAATACTGGTGCATGCCTTGCAAGTGACCCTGAAAAGCTTGGATCATGGCTTCTTGTCTGAAAAGCAGCACTTTTTAGTATAGCAACTCCTCAGATGGAAAGAGTCCAAGATTCTTTCTTTTGTTTCTGTTTAGAATGTGGCTGTGCTGCTTAAGGGAAGAGATGGATAGAGTTGAAAGTAAATAATTTTATAAATCTAGCCCTAATCAGTTTATAAATCTATCTAATAAATCTGGAGTTCTGTCAGTTTAATGCTTGCATCTATACTGGTGCAAGCTGTAGCAGAAGCCACCTGCCCAGTTAGTCTGTGACTGGAAGATGCTCCTGAAAACAATTCAAAACTGTGAAAATGATAGGTGATAATTGATGTGTTAGTTGCAATGAGAACAAAATCCCTAGAAAATGGACTTAACCAAGTAAGTGTTTTTGTTTTGAACCTCTGTGTTGTAATGCCTTTTGTTTTAGGTGCAGACAACAGTTTATATTATCATGAAATGTAAACTAGATGGTGAAATGAAAACTGAAGTTGAATTTTCTCCAGAGAATGCATCCTCTGTGCGTGTGCTGGCTGAGATGGAGAATGAGTACACAATCTCTGTGAAGGCTCCAAGTAAGATGAACTGAGATTTTTTTTTCCCCTTTCATTCCCCATTGCTGCCTTTCTATCTCAACCTGCCTGTCCTGAGAAGTGCCAGGGGCATAAGGTTAAAGATTGCAGTGCAGAAAAACTTGAGTCCAGAAAATCTTGAACTTGCTTTCACACCTGTGATACTTTTGATGAGGAACTGAGAGAGACTGCTGCTTGTGGGCTCTGTTTTCCCCTCTGCAGCAGTAGGGTTGCAGGGGGGAAACACCTTGCTGGGAGTTCTGAGAACACATTGCAGCTTGTAGAGCACTTTGAACTTAGCTGTGTGTTATGACCACCACCATTATTAGTATTGGCAGGGCACCAAGAGAGAAGGGAAGTGCCAGTAAATAATTACATGACTATAATGGCATGTGTTTAATGTGTAGTGATCTCTGTGATCAGAGCTGAGACTATTTATTCTGGCTTTTTAGATATGTTCTGTCACTCTAAATATTTACATTTACAAAAGTGAAGGTTGCCTAAACTTTAGGTTCACTGAACTTTAAGAGAATGATTTCAGAGCCTTAAGGATTGCTATTATTTCCCAGCATTATTTTATTTAATCTACCTTAGTCTCTCCTCTTGAAGAGTCATTCTGCCATTCTCTCTGAGAATAGAGACTAACAGTCATTAAAGCAACTACCCTAAAGTCAGTGAAGTGAGTTGATTTTAAAGAAGGTGACCTCATGAACATATAAGGGCTTAATTTAATGTCTTAAGTCAAGTCTTACAGTATAAACACTGACCTGAAAACTAACTTGTACTTTGAATTATAAACATGACCTTCACATTGATGGAGTGTACAGTGTAAGCTCTGAAGTTTCTAACAGTAAGAGAAATAATTAATTCCTTTGTGTTATTAATGGTTTCATAATTTCCCAAGTTCTTAACAGGGAAAGACTAATTTAGTGGGATTCAAAATATCTGTGTTTCAAAGAGAAAGTTCAGACTTATAAATGCATATTAAGCAAAACATCAAGAACCTCCAAGGTGCAAGTATAAGGTAATCCTGTGCATGGGTAAAGTTGCAAAGCTGGAATTCCTTTTCATGGATTTTATTCAGAGTCTAGTGAGGCTGACAGAGATTGCAAAATCTCTAGTGATTTTTCTGATTTCTTTTCTTCCCCAGCTCTTTGTATTTATGGTATGGCTTTACAGACAGCTCCAGAGAAGCCAGGGGTGGAGAGATGTGTGGCTTTCTATTCAAGGTGGAGTTCTTTTAACATTAGTGGTCCAGTCTACTGGTAGCAGAGGACCTAGCAGGTTATGTGCATTGACCCAGCCATAAAGAAGGTAGTTCCAAAGTACTTTCCTACCTAGAGGTCCAAGATTATGACTCTTCTCATGACTTCTCATGAGTTCAATATAGCAGAAACTGTTTTGGTGGCCATCTGGTGGTATATCCAAACTCCTCCTGTCCTCACAGTACATCATGCAAACTCATGCCCGTTGTTTGTGCTAATAGTTATTTTTGCTCTTCCTTTTCAAAGATTTAACCTCTGGGACAGTGACCCTGCAGATATATTCAGGGGACTTGATGGTGGGAGAAACAAGTGTCACTTACCATACTGACATGGAGGAAATCAGCAATCTGTTGGCTAATGCAGCCAACCCTGTACAGTTCATGTGCCAGGTAAGGACTTTAGCAATCGGCTGCTTTGGAAACCAGCTCTTTCAGAGGCTGCACAAACAGGCATAAGCAAAAGTGCTTGCCATGAAGTAGCTCTTCTGAAATGAAGAAATGCAAGGTTATTTAGGGATTTTCACCTAACTCTCAAATCCCCTTTTATTGAAAGCATGGCTGTTTTTTCTGTCTCTGGAGCACATAGCTGGCTAAGGTGAGTCAGGTTATCAAACTAAGAAAAAAAAATGCAGTCAATCAACACCTACATTTAGACCTCGATGACTTCAAAAGGTTGGAATGACAGAACTTGATATAACAGAGAGTACCATAAAGAAATAAAACATTTTGGAATTTGTACCTACGTGTTATTAAAAAAAAAAAAGTAAATAGTAGTAAAGATTTGTATTAGCTGGACGAAGCAGAGTAACATAAAAGGATTTGCTGATTCTTAACACTTTTTCAATACAGCCACTCAGCTTTCCTATTCTGTTTTGCCCAGCTGGGGTACCTGAACCCTATTAGAGGGGTAAAGCTTGCACAAGCAAGTTTTCTGCAGCGTTGCCTTGTTGCCTGCCTGCATGTTCCTGATCTGGCATGTAATGGAAGCCTACAGAGCAGCCTTGTTAGTCACCAATATACCTGGGGCAGGGGAGACAGTGTTTCCCTTGCTTTTTAGCTCAAGTTGTGTAGCAGTTGGTACTGGTTGATGCCTCTGCTTAGGGAGTGTGCCTGTTTCCCAGTGGTAAAGAATCAGTCCAAAAGCTGAGCTCAGCATGAGTGCAATTCAAAATGGACCAGTGCATACTTAAAGCAGGAGTGATATTTCATTGGACACTTTCAGAAGTAAGTGTATACCTGCCAAGAAAGTAGGAAGCAAGTTTTCTGTGCTTCCAGTTGCATGAGTGACTTTCTCATTGTGCTCTGTCTTGTGGAATATACAGTTCTCATCTGTTGAGCTTGATGATACTCTGTTTCTACACCAGGAGGCTATCCAAGTTCTTTGTTTGACCTGAACATTCCTACCTTTTGTATTTGTACCTACTGTTTTCTGATTGTGTTAAATAATAACAACACCATATAAATCTCACCTTAACTGAATCTCCAGATTCTACCAAACAAAAGTGCTTTCCATTTATCTGTAGGCCTTTAAAATTGTGCCATACAGCATAGAAGCCCTGGACAAACTATTGACTGAGTCACTCAAGAAGAACATTCCTGCTAGTGGTCTACACCTGTTTGGAATCAACCAGCTGGAAGAAGAAGATATGACAGCAAGTAAGTTTAAAGACACTTGGTTTATAGATTTTCTTTGTATCAGTTGTTTTACCTTGAAGCACTTTTAACACTGCAGTGGATGGTACCTGCACAGACTGTCTCAAAAACCTTGGATCTCAGCCAGGAAGCTAAATTTTGATGATGTCTATAGAAAGGGAATTGCCATTTGAGTCAGGTGGCCCTTTTATGTTACATCTGTCATTCTCACTTCCCTGCACTGTGGCAGATGCTGCTATATAGACAGCTTCATACCAGAGTGAAAAGATGGTTCTCCCCAAATGTCTCCCAGACTTTCTGCATTATTCTTTTGCCTCATGACTTTTCTCCACAGCCCAGTCCTTTTCCCCAAACCCCATAACTCCTAAGATACACAGTGGCACTGAGCAGTTGGGTTGGTATGCTGTCTTTTTGTAATGATGGTCTAAGAAGTCCTTGCAAATCTGTGATCCTACATGCATTTAAGCTATTACAGTGTCATATTCCCCACTAAAGGTTATAGGACTTAAGCCTGGAGGTGCACAAGATAATTTGTGCTGTTGGCTTGCTTTTCAAACCATATATATACTTCCAGGGATTTCCCAGCTGCTTTGTTCTGTGTGATTGCTGTCTTTGTTTCTCACCTATTGGCTCTGCTGCTACTAGAGAAAAACTTGGGTTCTAATGGGCTCCTGTTCTCACAGATCAGAGAGATGAGGAGTTGCCAACACTGCTTCACTTCTCTGCAAGATACGGGCTGAAGAACCTTACTGCCTTGCTGCTTACGTGCCCTGGAGCACTGCAGGCCTACAGCGTGGCCAACAAGTATGGCCACTATCCAAACACCATCGCAGAAAAGCACGGCTTTAAGGATCTGCGCCAGTTCATTGATGAATACGTGGTAAGGGGAAGCTGAGCCATCTTTCTGCCTCCCACACCAGGCTCTGGCACCGAGCTTGGCACTCAGTGTCACCTGAGCAGGAGTGCTGGGGTGATAAAGTGTCTTGTGGTACACAGACATCCAGCCACACTGCAAGCTTTCAGGCTAGAGGGTTAGGTGTGTCTCTGGAGCCAGGGAAATTCCTGGGGCTTTTGCAAGTAAGATGGAAGTAGAGACTGCCAAGCTGGCTTCCATTCCTCCATCCATCTAATGAAGTTTCTGAGGATATGTGGTTGGTGATTAGTGCATTCTTCTAGTTCTGATCTTGGGAAAGAGCCCCTTCATCCAGCTTACTTTAGGGAATAATATGGGAACAGAATATGTTTAGGAAGATACAATTTGAGGTGTTCTCTTATTAGTTTTAGTATAGGCAGGATTGCTTACTAGCTTGTTCATAGCTGATCTGTGTAGTCTGCCTCTTTGACTTGATACCCATTTCTCCCTGCATTGGTATACCTGTCCATTCCCTGTTTGTTCTATCAGGGATCCCAACTGACAGTTCATTTCTATTTGAGCTAAGCCCGCCCCCAGAAAATACACTCTGACTTTTCCAGATTATGACATGGACCTGACTCCAGCTGCACCAAGCAATTGTTTCTGTGCAGTACTTGGGTACTCATAGAGTTTCTCCTTTCATTTCAGTTTGAGCTCCTTCTGGCTTGTATGCTTTAAAATAACAAGGAGCTCATTGACTCAGGGCACATTGACCACATCTGAATTCTATTTGCCTTTGCTTTAGGTTGAAAAGTTGTGTTTAATTGTCCTTAACATTGTCTGAGTGCTGGATGATAAATCTGGTAGCTTTAGCATGGTTCTGCCAGCCAGTTACTGTAGTGTTTGAGCCCTATTTAGGAGGTGTGGGTAGTTCTTGGACTTGGGCCTTGCTTCTTGACAATTATGCATTAGAGCTAAATAAAAGCCATTCCATATTCAGAGATCAGGACTGCTGTGAAAACTGTAATATAGTGAGATCACAATCTTTGCATTGGGGTAAGTAAGAGATGTGCAGGAAGTCCTTCCAACCTCTCATTGCAGTACTGTGCTCCTCCCATGTTCTCTCCAGCAGCACAGTGACAGAGCTGTGTTAAGAGCAGGTCCTCCTCACTGACCTGCTGGAGCTGTCAGTGCAGCACAGTACAAAGCACACAAACATCTGCAATAGTGTCACTACCATCACTAGTATGGATGTCTGAAAATCCCATTAAACCCCGTTACTCACCTGATTTTCTCTCTGGCAAAGGTTCCTCTGCACCTTTGTAAAGCATTGTGTGAACTATTGGCCTGACACATTTTGACTGTGGAGGGAAGCGTGTGTAGACAGCTTTGACACACATGCCCTGTGGATTGAGGGCCCATCAGTCTGCATTTGGGAATGGAAGAGTATCTTGTAGTATTGCAGCTATTAAGGTGGTGCTTGTGACATAATTGGAATTTGGGAAGGAGAATGGGATGAGGCTTTACCTTTTGCTTCCTTGTGTTGTGATTTGGTGAAGCTCTGCCTTCCCCCCTGCTCTGTGTTGCAAATGCAAAAGAAAGGATTCTGCTCTCCTGTGAATCAGAAGTTGCCTGTATTGCATGAACTGCTGCCTGCTATGAGGTTTCCTGTTAATATCACAGAAAAGGGTCTGTGTACTCCCACTCTGGGTGTTACATGCTGCTGCTAATGCCAAGAAACTGAAACTGAATCTACATCAAAGCTAAAACTTTGCTATTTTGCAGGTGCTCTGCATGTGATAAACTTTCCCCCTTATGGTTAGCTATGCGTGCCCCAAAATAGCCTTCGACAAACATTTGTATTTTTAGAATGAGCTCTGCTTATGTTCTGGGACTTTGCAGATATTGGGTAGGACATGAAATTGGTGGGGTGAGAGGCTGCAATGGCTACTCAGAATGTGTCAGCAGCCCTTGTTTCACCTTTGTTACCTATTAATACAATAAAGATCTCAAAAGTTTGACCCAGACAGCTGTAGTGGGGATTTAAGTCACTTGAGAAGCCTTAATCTTTGGGAATGAGCTGTCTTCAGAGTTTGTTTTTTTTTATCACTGATGACAAAGTGAGATATCTTTTGCTTGCTTTTATTCTCTAGCTTCTTTATTTAAAAGAGACTTTAATTTTTTTTTTTTTTGCTCTCCTTCCTCTCCAGGAAACTGCAGATATGCTAAAGAGTCACATAAAGGAAGAGCTGATGCAAGGCGAGGAGGATGAGTCTGTTTATGAGTCCATGGCTCACCTGTCCACTGATCTGTTAATGAAATGTTCCTTGAATCCAGGCTCCGATGAAGAGCTTTATGAATCCATGGCTGGATTTGTCCCGGGTGCCCCAGAAGATCTTTGTATGTACATTCATAGAGTTACAGAATCATGGGAAGGTTTGGGTTGGAAGCTCAAAAGCTCTAAAGCTCACCCAGTCCAAGCCCTCTGCAATGGGAGGTGTTTTTAGATCAGATTGCTCAATACTCATCTCTCTCACACACAGGAGTTCCTCAGTTACAGCTTTTCTGCTCTCACCACAAGGAAACTATGCTGCAGTTCCATCATTGGCTGACTGACAAAATTGCTCTGTACCTGTTCTTAATTGATAGTGTACAAGATCGAGAGCTGTTTCTTCAGTGTTTTAAGGACTCCCTGAACCCTGAGCAAATAAATTAACATATAGAAATGAGACTAAATTTTCTACAATGTCCTGCTTTTTCCTCCTGAGGACTGGTACCTAGGAACTGATGTTAACAGAAAAGAACAGTGTCAGATGTGATTTTACTGACAACTGGGAAACTGAAAAACAAGAGTTGAGATTCTAGTGCAACAGCTTGAGAAAAAAAGAAAGTTAAGATCTAGAAATATGTATACCGAAAAGATTATAAGTGAAAAATCATTATTCTAATCTGATTGATTTATTGCTACAAATAAAGAGCTAATTCTGATAAATATGCATATGTTTAAATTTTTCACTATTTCATTAATATTCAGTGAGGCCAATTGAAAATGCCAAATTAATTACCTCTGTTAATTAATTTGCTGTTCTTACTCACCTATCTATTTGGTCTGACTTAATCCCACTGATATCTATTATATGATTCCCATAATGAGCAGAAAATTTAGCTTCCTATATTTTAAGTACCTCCTTAAGGTACTTAAGGACTTGTAGTGTTTCTGCAATTTTTAAGTGTGCTGCCTCAGGGGAAAAGCTTTCTTTTTGAAACACTTGTGCTTATGGGCTATATTGGACTGTTTTCTCCTCTTTTAGATTAAATGATACTATAAAACACATTTTTGTTGTTTATGAAGTCCAGAAGAATGTTGGTTCTTTCCTTGAAATCATAAACTCTTTTCTGCTAAGTGTTGTTGGCCACTGCAGGGATAGTTTTGCTACCAAAACCAGGGTTATTCTGTCTTCAGGTGGAGATAAGCAGCAAATCAGGTTGGACTTGCAAGGAACAAAGCTGCTCTTGTTTGCAGGAATGATGAGAGTTTCTAGATGCTTGGTAGGTCTGCCGGTAATCAGTGACTTCTGAATGAGGTTGATTGACAAAGCCTGTGGATGGTTAGAAAACAAGCTCAACGCTACTAAGCCAAATTCCCCTTCTTCCAGGCCTGAAATGCCCAGATCTCCCAGAAACTATGCATGGAATTTTCTTGCAAATTGAGCTCCCTGTAATTTAGCACTTTTGAACTGGACTCTGAAAGCCTCTCTTTCCCGCGTCTTCTGGAGTTCTAGTGTGTTGCTTCTGCACACAAAGCTCTGCTGCCTTCCATTAAGGAGTCTTTTATTGAAATTGTGTTTTCCTTACCTGGTCTGTTAGACTTTGCCTGAAGAATATTAACAACTTGTCTGAACAGTGCTTATAATCTACCTGTATCATAACAGATAAGTTTAAATTGCAATTATCAGCACTTGGATTGATTCTCTCAAAGTGAAAGTGTTTCAATATCATTTAGAATACCAGCACACAGGCAAACTCTCACTGAAATTCACTTATATCAATAAGCCTCAGCAATCCATTGATATCACTCTTGTTTTTAATATAATTAGGAATATGGTTACCTAACATTTTATTTTAGTTTTAAGATTAGTATTAGTGTTATGATGAGGCTCACCTTTTTCTTTAAAATCAGAATTCTTTATGTCAAAACACTGAATTAACAAAGTATCTTATTGTTTGCTGTCAGTCCTTTCTCAATGCTGAATTATCATCTGACCCTGTAAACACTTTCCAGATCCAAGTAATTAACTCAGCCAACTGTTTTGACTTTATTCCAATAAATAAAATAAACACTATCTTATGTGTCATGGGAAAATTGCCTTTAATGTCTTGTTTTTCCAAGGCACATGGTTTCCTCTCTGGGGCACTGTCCAGAGGTCAAAACTTTCACCTGGCCAACACACGCTCAAGAATAGCCAAAACTCAGTGCCTGCTTGAAGCCTTGTCAGAACTTCTCAATAGGATTGTTAGTCACCCTCAAGTGTAAGCATCAGGCAGCTGGAAAAAATTTGTGCAGAGTGGACTGAACATAGCAACTTAGAAGCCTTCTTCAAGGAGAATGTCTGGTCATTTGCCCAGCTGCTTTGATTGTCGCCATTAAGTAAAGGTCCAGTTCATTATGTCATATTACATTGTTCCATGTATTGAAGGATATAATTGACAGGTTCATTTTTCTGGGTTGTTTTTTTTTTCAGATGTAGAGATGCTTCAATCCAAACCAGACACTCCAGTTGCTGGAGATGAAGTTTCTTTAACTACAAAGGACTCAATGCTCCGCAAGTTTTTAGAAGGTGAGACCTATTTTGAGGGAAGGATGGCAGTAGCACAGTTAAAGCAATTAAACAGAACCAGAGAGTTCTTCATGATCTCTTAGGGATAGAAGATAGCCCACATAGTTAGCTTTTTTCAGACAAAGGACTAATTCTCTTTAGTACATTGTAGACCATCACACAGTTTTTGGAAACCATTGGTCTGTTTGATTTGTTCACTATTAAAGTATGTTAATTAACTGAAATTAATTAAACTAACTGTTGCTCAAATTCTTAAGGAGAGTTAGGAGATTTTTCACTATTTCTCTAAAGAGATGGTACAGGCATAGTGGCAGTTACATGCTACTAGAGGTTAATGACTTTATCAAGTCCTGTCATAAAGGTCTTTGGTACATCTAAGGCACTGCAAAACTGGGTTGTTTTGGCTCTGAAATGACCAGCTTGGTAAGAATGTGGTACATAATGCATCTGGAGGGAACCAGTGCTCAGTGAAGTGGCCAGGTTATTATTCTTACAAACTCTGCTTCATTGTAGGTGGTAGCATGGATGTGCCAGATTCTGAGGAAGGAGGTCATGAGCAGTATGATGAAGACGTGTATTACTCAGTGGAACAAGACCCTTTTCCACAGGAAATGGCTAACAGACCTCCAGTTCCTGTTCCAAGACCAGAATCTAGCTCTCCACAGCCAGACAATGAACTGTACATCTCCAAAAGTGAGTTGGTTATCAGTGGAAATGTAGACCAGTAAACTGTAGGATACAATTGACATGGGCTCCAGTTGCCAAATAAATGCCAGGATCCCTGGATTATTTGACTCTGGAGTCAAGTTACCTTTGGGATCCAATTTCATATCTGTTTTTTCATCTTTTGCCTACTCTGAAAATGTGTGGATGTTATATCCCAAGATCTTGGCCTAAGCTTGCTCTTCCTGAAAGCAGTAGCATGACAGATTAACCCCAAATGGTATAAACAAGTCCAACTAAGTAGGAAAGCTCCTGATATAAGGACACAATCGAGCTAATAAATTGAGACATTGCTGATCTGTAATGCTATCATTGATTCAACTGCATCTGTCTAGGACATGATTTTATACCTCAGTATCTCCCTCTGAGGTGGGGTTTTATTGAAATTGAAGATTGTTCCTCCTAGTTCATTAGGCAGCTTTGTTCATGATATATGACCAAGCTTTCCATTCTAACAAGAACCACAATGACATGTGAGAGAGTAATTTCTGTGACTTCTTCCCGCTGTGACAGAGCTAAGGAGAAATCATGTCCAGATTTCTCTTAGAGGTGGCTGAGCTAAATTCTTTGAGGTCAATAGAAAGGAAATTCTGCTGTACAAATCTTTGTTTTCTTCAATGGACTGAGAAGGGTAACAGAAGCTGTAAGGCAGTGCAGAATTGTGTATGCTTGCTGTATTCATCCTTGCTATTTCTGTCTTCATGAGATGGATTTCAGTATCTAAAGAATGTTTCTTTTGCAGTTTTTGCACAGAAGGCTCAAAGACCTGAGAATCTTTATGTCCCTAGAGGAAGGGTTAAGAAAGGTAAGGCAGAAGTTCACCCTGAAAATCCTTTCAGTAATCCAAAATCAGATCTGTTATGGTAGCTTCATTTGTGTGAAATATGACAGAATAGACTGTTTTGCAAAGCTCTGGGGATAACAGTCCTCTATGAATGACCCAATCTTTTTGACCATTTGTGACACTGGAAACTTTTATGAGTGCAGAGTGTGAGGGGAGCACATCTCCTGTCTGGGGAGCTCTTCTTTATGTTACAAATGATTTGGAAAATGCCAGCATCAGTGGAATGAGTTTTCAGTTTCTGGGCTTAAACTACATAGATTATCTAGATAGAATCTAGCTTTGTGACTGCTAAGGTAAAAGCACTGTTCTGTGAATTGCTGAGGAAGCAGGTGCTTTAAGGAATATGTTTTGTGCTCTTTACTTAAATTACTTTTTTAAGAGCAGAGCTTATCCCTGGGATATATTTGTGTACAATGTTACCCCTCCGCTGGGCTTTTAGACGTGACAATTATTAGGATGGCCTAACAAGAAAACACTTAGGAAGCATTCAGTCTGTAATACTTTTTTTTCCTCTTTTTTTCTTTATTTTAAATGTCTGCTGGATCAAGGGTACTTGCTCTCTTTGTATTCAGTGAGGAAGGTAGATCCACAAGTTTAATAATATTTTTGCTGATGTTCTCTCCTCAGAGACAATAGTCAGGCCTGTGAGGGACCTGTCTCAATCAAGTATATATGATCCGTTTGCTGGAATGAAAACCCCAGGTCAGCGGCAGCTGATTACATTACAGGAGCAAGTGAAAATGGGCATCCTCACTGTGGATGAAGCTGTACTTCATTTTAAGGAGTGGCAACTGAACCAGAAAAAGAGATCAGAATCATTCCGCTTCCAGCAGGTACAGACTTAGGCTACTGTTTAGGAAATACAGCTGCCTCTCTAGGTATATATCATAAGCTTCTCAGCACGGGTACATTTTTTTCCTGGTTGGAGCAGGAAGACTGCTAACACAGTCCCCCCCAGCTAGCAGAGTTCTCTCCTGCCATGGGAAGGCTGTTCCCAGTAAGCAGCAAGCAGTTTTACAGATCTGTTTGTCTTGCAGTAATAATGTCAGCTTTTGAAGATCTGTATACAAGGAATTGGATCAAATCCAGTTGGCCAAATCACCTTTCTAGAGGTCACCTAGCACCTACCTGCTGGCAGGGGACTTCTGTGATGAACATTTAACTTGTTGGCTCTCATCCATTTGAGATCAGTGAAGACTGTGTCCCAGATGATGTATTGGCTGTAAAGCCCTAGCTGGTAGATGATCTGATTTCTCCAACTGTTTGTTGATGGCTACAGGACTGTTCTTTGCAGCTGGGCAAGGTCTAGCAATAGTCATTAGTAAAAGCAGAGTGTTTGGGTGCCTTAACAAAAAGAGGGAGTCAGTTGGCAGCAGTGACATAATGACTGGTGGAACTATCAGTTGTAGTTTAAAATTTTCATTCTCAAGTTAGAGTTTGGCTCCCTCTTTAAAACCAGTGCCTGCTTCTTTTGGAGCCTTTTGTTCATGCTGTGGCAGTCTAGTCTCCAGTGGGTGACATTTTGCTGACAACTTCCAAAAGAGGCAAAGCTTTTCTCCTCGTGGAAAGGTCCTCTCTACCCAGAAACAGTCCCTTCTTTTCCCAGAGAAGAACACAGTGCTACTTGAGTAAATTGATGTTGAAGAGATGTAGTGGCATGCTCTGTGCCCCATGCCATGAGCAGCTTTCAAAGTCTCTGCTCTGGATTTTGCTTCATGGTACAGCAGTTCCTTCCTCTGCTTTTCAGGAGTTTCCTCCTCTCAGATCTGTACAGACTTCCCTGCTGAAAAAAGTTGTCTTTTTTTCCCCCTACCTTTTTGTACTGTAAGGTGTAATATGCTTCACAATGGTGAAGTCTTTGCTCCCTGCTACATTTCTTCATTGGGGATATCCTGAATTCTGAGTTGTACCTCACACTGTGGGATGCATGGAGCCCTTTCTGTCCCTGCAGTCACAATAATCTGTTAATTGGCACAGAAAGAACAGTGCAGGTTACTTGGTTGTGGGTCATTTTTCTGTGCCAGTGTCACAGTGCAAACAGAAAATACAGAGTTCTAAATCCAATTTGCTGCTTATGTGCAACTGCCCATATGTGAACTTGACCTTAACATACATAATGAACATCGGAAAAAAACCTTGGCTTCTGAAAGGCACACATGGGTTTCTGAAAGGAATAGATTAAAACCTGTTGACATGGTTTGGACTTCAGCCAGGTCTAGCAAGCTTTGTTACAGCTTGACTGCAAAGCAAGTCTAGCTAAAATATAATGACTTTATATATAAACTTTAGCAAAGTTAGCAAAAATATAATACTGGTTTTGTCAGAAAGCTGCTCATCTTTCTTTATCCAAAGCCCTGAAAAGAATATCTTGTGATGATTTTAGGAAAATCTGAAACGTCTACGAGACAGCATAACCAGGAGGCAAATGGAGAAGCAAAAAAGAGACAAAAGTGCAGGTAACAGTCTTTGATTCTGATAATTCTCTGGCAATGAAACAGCTAACCATATTAACAAGCTCTTCAGGCAGGTGTGTCCATGTGTATTGTGGTTTTGTGATATTTTAATACGCACATCCATGTGCCAGTTGTCAAAAACTTAAGGAAAGTGCTTTGCTTATTTTCACAGCCAAGAAAAGGATGTCCCCATCTGTGGAGTGCATCTTGATTCATTCATACACAGTTTTGATTGTCCTTATGCAATTGTGTTTAACTCTGTCCTTAAGTGCAAAATTGTCTCTTGGAGGCTGTAATTGCATAGATCTTTCTGAGCTGTTCGTTTTCCCTTCCAGATTTGGAAATTACAGTACCCATTCGACATTCTCGTAATACTTTGGGGAAACCAGAATGTGGAATATATGAATACACGCCCAGGAAAAACCTTTTTCCACCAAAAAGGGAGTTAAAACGAGGAGACTGGAAAACAGAAAGCACATCCAGCACAACAAGTAAGCAACCTATGAGCATCAGCGTCCCTACAGGAGAGCTGGATGGAACACACTTCCCAAGCCTTACCCTGGGGTCAGCCCAGGGGACAGGACTTCTGTTCCTGAATCCTAGCACTGACAATGCCACCCCAAACCTTGCATGCCTCAGGCCAGCTGTTCTCAAAACTGTGAAAGCAATTCCAGGTGTGCATCAAGTGGTTTGGGCATCTTCTGTCTGCATCTCTGCAGGAGGAGAACCTGAAAGCTGAGCAAAAGATTCTCTTGAGCCCTTCTCAGAGAAGGCATGCCACCTGTTTTCAGTTCGTAAAAGTAGATGGCAGCTGCTGCCTTATTGGAAAGGATGCTCCCATGCTGTGACTGCCAGCAGGCTGTGTGCTCTTCTGGCCTGAAGGGCTGGAAGCCAGTCTCTATACGTTGTTTCTTCAATTGTTTTACATAAAGGACAGCATTTTTCATTGGTAACTGTGGGATCTCTTGAGTGGTTGGGCAGTCAGCACATTTTTATTATCTTTGCTTTTCATTACATTTAATTTGTGCAAATTAAATCCCTGCGTTCTTACTCTTACTGCAGACTGAGCAATTCTTGCAGAAATCATTTAGGACCAGTTGGGTCCTTTGAAAGGAAACCTGACTTCCTGTTAGGTTGCCACCTTTGTGACTCTTGGCAAGGTGCAGCTGGCATTCATCCAGAGCAGGTGCCAGAGGCAGCTGGCTGAGCCAGTAACTTGCCTACAAGCACATGTGAGAGAAGCACTAACAAGTCTGCAGAGCTCGCTGTATGTAGCCTGGTGCTCTTTCTCACGGGGTGATGCTGAGAATGGACCCTAGCACAGGATTTAGCACTCTGAAGTGCTGCTGTTTGTACCAGCTGATGAGACTTACCAAAGCTAGCAGGGAGGGACTGCATCTTAGGAGAAAACCTCTCTTACCACCATTTCAGCGTACAGGTTTCTGAATAGTAGTATCCCCATATTTCACAGCCCTATAGAATGTTATCTATTTAGTACTGAAACCAGCCATAGCAGTATAGGGTATGTTTGTGAGTTCCTGTCACCTTTGGAAGTGGCATGACTGATTGAAAAAACAATTCCTACTCTGAGTCCATAACAGTTTAATGGGTTTGCTTAGATGGGTGCTGAAGGTTGTTTGAACAAACTTGTTTTTAGCTTGGAAATAGACTAGGAAACATTTCTGTGGTGATGGAGGATGGATTGTTTTAAGAGGGGGTAGTAAACAGTTATTTATTTGGAACAATAACTTCTTAAGCAGTCAGTCCAGGAATGAATATGTGACAGTGCTGAGAGCCATCTATCTTCATGCAGTTGTTAAAGATACGGGGACTGATAATTTAAATGTACGTAAGTGTTGTGTGTGTAACCCTTGTGAAAATATTTGCCTGACTTCCAGATGATATTAGCATTAGATCTTTTAATATTACATGATATGACACATATAAAGAATAGATTGTGGTTGTGAGTATTTGACCAGAAGACTGGATAAAGAAAGATAAGGCAGAGATCTTCTAAAAAGAAAGCATAATTGAATTGCTTGGGCCTGTGGTTTGTGTTGTATGAAATGCTGTTTTTGGATCCCAAATATATGAAAAAAACAGTGAAAATAAATTAATCTAAACAAGCATTAATTATATTTGCAAGAATTAAGCATGAGGTTAGAAAGAGCCCTGAGTTAGGAATTTGCAGTTAAATGCCCAGGGTTTGTTAATCAGTTTTTTCTCTCGCTTCCTCCAGGTAGTGCAAGTAATCGCTCCAGCACTCGGAGTATCCTGAGTGTCAGCAGTGGGATGGAAGGGGACACTGAGGTAAGCTCTCACCTCTGCTACGTACTGCTCTGCTGTCCTTAAGTACACGCCTTTGTTTTCATGCTGAAAAAAGAGCTCAAAGCTGGCATTGCATTTAGAGAAATGCCAAAATGTAGCCACTTTTGTGAGGATACCAAGAACCAGATTCTGCTGGTCTGTAAACACTTCTTTTCATTTTGTAGGACAGTGAAGTCCCAGAAACAGCAAGGAGCCGCAGCCCAGTTCCTCACCAAGCAGAGAGGGTTCCTTTCCCAGAAAGGCCTCCCAGAGTGCCTCCTCGAGGTGCAAGCAGGTAAAACTAAAATGCAGCTCAAAATGGGTGCTTTCAGTTAATCCTCATGGAAGCCTTGGACAGAAAGCAAGGCAGTTAGCAAAGGCAGCAAGAATGCTTTTGAGAAAGCTACCAAACTCTCAAAGTTTTACTCCAACCAACCATTTTAGCATCTCTTTCCAGTAATAGTAGAATTACTGCAGCTACAGAACAGAAGAAATGGCTTGGACAGGAACAATGCTCTGGCAGCTTGGCATCTGCTCTGTTGCTCAATCAGCCTGCTTTTCTTCTTGTATGACTACTGATTGTACACTATGCTTACATATGATTTTATTGCATGCAATGTGCTGTTTCAGAACTCTATTTTCTACTACTTTTTCATACATTTTCATTATCTGTCTTTTTATAGGCCTGTGAGCTGTGAAGGCTTTTATCCTCCACCTGTGCCCCCAAGAGGTCGCTGAATCTCTCAACATCTGTGGAATATGAGAATTTTTTTGTTTATACATGTGTTTGTACAGATTTTTTTGGGCTGTGTTAAATTATTTATAACTGGGACCCAAATAATTTCATCCCCTTCGTCCTCCCTGAAGCTCTGGTGACTTTTCCCATGATTTTCACTGGGACCTTTTGGCGTTTTATAACTTTTTTTTTAGTTGGAAGAATTTTGGTGCTTTGGGGCTTCAAGAAAAGGTATCATCATTGGGAAGAACATTGATGTGTGTCTTGGGAGCCCTGCATCAACATGAAGATCCCATCTAATCAAGAAAGCACATGTGTCCTTTTAGGAACTAAGTCCTAAAAGCATTGTTACCAAACCTCTCAATACAGTCTATCAGGGCTTGACTGGAAAACATGCTTAAAAAGTAAAGAAAATAAGATGTTTGAAAAATGCTCATTACAGTGGAAGCAGATGAATGTACTACTGCTTAGCATAACATTTTGTATACAATTATACTGACCTTTCAGAAGGTGTAGCATCCCCCTTTAGCAATCATTAAACCATGGGGGGATGAGAAATTTTCTTCAAGAATGTATTTTGCGCACAGCCTTGAAAATGCCTTTCCTTTTCCTGTTCACTTCCTGAGGAAGACAGACAAGGTGTTGTGTGTCCTGTATTTACCATGAAAATTCCCAAGACAGCTGGTAAGGGACCTTCTGTATCACAAACCAACTGGGCTTAAGTTTTTTCATGCAAGTTGCAGATATGGTGTTAAAAGATCACATGACTGAGCTCTCAAATTAGAGAAGGCCTGTGTGGCAGTGCTGTGCTCTGTGTCTTTCACGTGTGGTCATTGCAGCAATATGAAGGCATTCCACTTCATACTCTGGCACAGTAGTGAGTCCCCAGTTACCAGGGCATACCCCTCACAAATACCAGCCATATTTTAGCTGGCTGCAGAGGGAACAGACAGCCTGGGAGCTGGACTCTGCTTGCTCTACTGTCCCTTTCTACCAATGTGAACCTGCAGCAGCTACGTCCAGCCTTTTTTCTGCCTGAGGGCTTACAAACTTAAGGAGGCTTCCTGGTTTGGCTCTCTTCCAGACCTTGAAATTGTCTGTGCATATCCCAACCCTTGGGGGACAACTGAGGGCTCTGGTTGTCCATGAGTGACACTGCTGGAAATCTGCAATGATAACATTCAGGGTAGAGAATTAAACATCATTACATACTTGGTTTTTAGGGATGAAAGAGGGGGGAATGACTTGAAAAACAGACATACATGTGTATTAGGTGATCCCTCAGGTAGAGGCAGGACATGTAGAGCTTCTGTCTGATCATGTCAGCTCCCCTTCATCAGCAGGAGAGCAGGTGACAGAGTTGCAGTTCCTTTCTCTTGCAGGGTGGCAAACTCAATGTGTGAAGCTGCAGAAGTGACAACAACTGTGACTTGACCAGCACTGAATGAAGGTGGAGGAGCCCCTGCTCCTTTCAGGGATATAGACATATGCTAAATATCATCTATGCATTAGACTCATAGGATTTGGGTGACTCCAAATGCAGTTCATAAATCCTCTCCTTTTGATGGCAGAGGGATGCAGTTGCTGTGCTGCATACACAGCACAACAGATAAAGAGGTGTCCTTTCTGTTTTGTTGGTTTTTTGTTTTTTTTTTAAAGGAACCTCAGTGCTGTCTCCAGTGACTGCCACTGTAGACTTTCAGTGAGTTTGCTTTCCTTCACTGTAGCCAGGGGAACGGTGAGGTAAGAGCAGCCCTCCTGTGCTCTTCTTGGACTGAAACAAGATTTCCAGCTCTATTAGCTCAAATTGGAAGGAGGGAAGGAGGTTTTGGTGCTGAAATGGGGAAAACAGTAGGAAGGATAAGAAGAAGTTAGGGACAGAAGATAAACAGGTTGTCTTCCGCTGTCGCACGCTTTGGTTTGCATACAGCTCCCTGGTTTTGCTCAAAAATTCCCTATCTTGGTGCTGACTGCAGCTGTGCCCCAGACTTTGGAGCTGTGATGTGGTAAGATGAATTTGTCTGCTTTCACATCTGCCAGGTACAACATAAAGTAGAATTGTAGGATGTGAGTAAAACTGTAGTAAGGCAGGAAAGGAAGAGCAAATTATATGTGTGTCATGCAGATTTTCTTTCAGCATTGTTGGACTGAAGCAGCCCTGGGATCTGTCTTTCCAAGCTAATTTTTAATTCTGCATCCCCTCCATGTTATAGCCAGATGTCCTCTATGGGAGGGATTTATCTGAGCATTTGACTAATACCATGGCTGTGAACTGGATATTTCTTGTGTGTGCTGTGCAGAGATGGTTGTATCTGAATTACTGAAAGTAGCTCATAAGTAGCCTTTCAGTCCCTCTCCCATTTGAAGCTGAGATATTTCGTTACTTTGGCCTGACCCATCACCTAAAGCCAAGTGTTGGTGGGGCTCTGGGAGAGGCGAGCTGGGAAAAGGAGAGCTGAGCCACACTATAAATACATTCTGTTCAGGCCCCTTCTGCACTCCTCAGGGGAGGGAAACTGAAGATGCAGCTGTGGTTTCAGGCATTCCTCTCTCACTGCTGCTGGGTTAGTGAGGGAGCTCAGTAACCAACAATCACTGCAAGACTCTCACCCTATTGAGGAAAAAAGGAGCAGCACTAAGATGGCTTTACTGTTGGATGCAGGTAAACAATTGGATGCAGTCATGTCTTTCAAGCCTCTTACAGGCCAACAGCAATGCACCTGCTTAGCCACCAAAGTGTGTGTTCCACACAGGTTGGATTCATCTAGTTGCTTTCAGCCTCTTACATTTCACTGTATGCAGTCCCTGTATCTGTCTTTTGTGCTGGTGAGCATGTGGTGTGTGTTAATTCCACCCAGGATGAGAAATGCACTGAAACTGAAGTTCAGAAGAGACCAGAGAAGAAACAGTGTGCATGCAGATTGCTGGTTATTTAAGAATATGCTTGGGAGGGAAAGTGGAAAGGGAAATATGAAGTGTTTCTGATGCATATTAGAGTTCAAGGACTGAATAGATAATAAAATTGCTTGTAAAAACTTAAGTGGCCTGGCCAATTGTAGGGGCATCAACCAATCCACCAAAGTCAGGTGCCAGCTGGCAGGCCTGGGGACAGTGTTTGTTCTTTGTACAGCATGCCTTGCAAACCCTGCTGCAGCAGATGGCTCTGGTTGGCCATGGTGCTGACTGAGAGACTTAAGTACTGAATAAACTGAAGATGCTGAAGCCTCCTCTCTCTGTCTCCCAGGGGTAAGCTACTCTATTTTGGACTGAGATGCAATGACTAGAAAGAAACATATGGTGTTATCAAAACTGTCTAGGATTTTTTTTTTTTATCTCTATGTGTGTGTGTAATGCAAGCATGGCTTTTGCATGGGTTTTGGCAAGTGTCTCTACAGAGACCTCACTTCTACTGAAACAGTGCATGCACTATCTCCTGCATCTCTGGAAAAGGCTTCAGATAAATACACCTTTGAAATATGTGCAGGGAAGGTAGACTGAATGTGTGAAACCACAAGAGGAAAAGCTTTTAGCATAGGTATGATGGTAACAGGGAAATCTGCTTTCTGCATAATTTCTACAAAGCAAGGATGACATGTAACAGCACAGAGTTCCTGCCTTCTGCTCGTATCATTTATTGTCTGTCTGCTTATTTGTTGGCTCTCTTTGAGAAGATGGCATAGCCCCCCCCCCCCTTTTTTTGAGAGAATATGTAAGATAACTTCTGAAATTTTTTAACTGTAATTAATTTTAAAGTTGTCTGATGAATCAGTGTTCAATGACATGAGCTTTTTGCATTGATGGCTTGGTTTGGCTTGGTTTTTCTTACTGTGGACTTGTAGTTTGAGGTAGGTTTGTGGGTTTCATCTTGCACTGACAGAAACCTTACCCTGAACAAGATCCAGGTGTGGCTGTGCTGCCTCAGCGCCTGCCCTGGGCCCTGCGGCTCCGTGTGCTGCTGGTGCGAGGGCTGTAGAGAATGGGGCTGTGGATTTCACTGCTGAGCTTCGAAAAGACCTCTGAGAGCGTCGAGTCCAACCTCGGCCTGAACATCACCGTATCTACTTGACCATGTCCGGTCCTTCCTTAAACACCCAACACCCCCAGGCCAGGTGACTCCACCACCTCCCTGGGCAGCCCCTTCCAAGATCTGCTCAGCCATTCTGTGCAGAAATTGCGCCTAGTGTCCGAGCTTGGGGCCCTTTCCCTTGTCCTGTCACTGGCTCCCCGGGAGAAGAGACGGACCCCGCCTCGCTGGAGCCGCCTTTCAGGCACTCGCAGAGAGTGATAAGCGTCTCCCCTAAGCCTCCTCTTCTCCAGGCTCAAAAACCGCAGCTCCCTCAGATGCTGCTCCCAACACTTACGCTCTAGAGGGTTCTTGTACACTGCCCTGAGTCCCGCCCTTCCCAAAGACCTTTCCATTACTTTATCGATCAAAACGAAATATCAATTACAATTCCATTCCGTAAGAATGGCGCTCCCTCGGGCCGCGCTCGGTGCCCGGCCCGCGGGGCGCGACCGCACTGTGCATGCCCGCGCTCCCTGCCGGGCTCCGCCCGCCCCGCGGGGCTCCCGTAGCGCTCCCGTAGCGCCCCCGCGGTTCCGGCGGCCGGGCGGGTGACGTGGCGGGCGGGGCGGAAGTGGCGTCGGCGGCGGGCGCGGGCCGGTGCCGCGGCGGGGCCTGCTGGGGACGCCGAGGCCCGAGATGGCGGCGCCCGGGCTGCTCCTGCTGCTCCTGCCGCTCCTGCCGCTGCGCGCCCGTGCCGACGAGCACGAGCACACGGTGAGGCGGCGCCGGCTTCCCGGGAGTGGCGCTCGGGCCGGGCCCCCGTGGCGCGGCAGCGCGGGGAGCGCGGCTCGGTGGGCGGGAGGGACGGGGAGCCGCGGGCCGCGGCCTCGGGGGGAGCGGGCGGCCGCCGCCCCGCGGGGCTCCCGCCGCGCCCGCTGCGCTGCTCGGGCTGTTCGGCCGCGCCGGGCGGAGCCGGGCCCCGCGATCCTGTTCGGCGCTCGGGGAACGCCGGGGCGCTCGGGGCAGGGCCGGCGGGGTCTCTGATCCGGTTTGCACATCCTTGTGCGGCCGGGCGGGGTGTCCCACCTTTTCCTGGAGCAGATAAACGTCCCGGCAGGTACCGTGCATGCTTTGTTTGGAGAGCGCTGTTTGCTCTGCCCTCCTCCCGGGAGGATGTTTGCTCTGGCTTCAGAGCTCAGTCCGAGCCGGAGCTGTTCTGACAGCCCTGCGGGACAGGGGCTGACAGCTCCCCTCGGGAAAAGGCAGGATAGCGTGGGAATCGGCTGGGGAGTGAGAGCAGGACGGGGACACTGCCACGGACCCGCAAGGAAAATGGGTGCAGAAAATACTACTGATCTGAGAGCTCACGCATTGGCATGAGGGTAGTTTTTCTCAAGTGCTCGCAATATTATCCAAAAAGAATCTCTAGGAAAAAAATACTAGTGCTTCATCAGTTTCTGATTTTACATCAGAGTGTTGTTTCCCGTGGCTTTCAGTGTGAGAGAATGGAGGTTTGTGTGATGAGCTGAGATGTGATTTTGGAACAAGACTTTCCTAGAAATCATGTCTTCTGCAAGTGGAGTGTATTAGAACGTGGCTGTGATTAAACACTGGCTCTCTCTGACTGTCAGGACTTTTTTTGCTCTTGAGCAGCCTGGCTGGTAAAACGCTTGCCGAGTTTCTTAACATAGGTTTCTTAAGGTGAGGTTGGTAAAGCTTACCAAGTGTTCTTAATGAAACAGATAAATAGTGTTGATAGCTTTTGTATAAGGGGTCATTAATTAGTTGCCTCATTCCGTT